CATAGTATACTGAATGAATCGCAAAAATTTCACTTACATGGAACACTCTCATCCTCACTGGTAGACATCGATGTTTCCCCGTAAGACACTTGCCTTAGGGCTCTTCAGTACCGATCTTGATATTATAAAAAAAACTACACAATTCATTCATAAATTACGATTTTTATGTCACGGAATAAGTTTGACCTGTTTATGTCATCGATGACATTCATTCACTTATTTGATTAAATCCCAGCCAGAAGGAATCTTGTTTATATTGAAAGGCTTATATTTTTAGGAGTGACTAGTTTTTTGAAAAGAAAGTTTTTGGCTTTCTACTACTCCATCTTGATCAATTTTTTTGTATCAATATTTAAAAATCGAAAGATAAATAGATAAGTACTATTCTGATCATTCTCATATTGATTTCAATTTAAGAGCCACAGGTAGACAGCTGTTTCAACAGTAGTTATGAATGTGGGTATCGTATTTTTTTTAAGAAAACCAAATTACTGTAAATACACCTACATAACATGACGATTTCGATGTAAAAATCACACAATTACAATTTATATACACCACTTTTTTTCAATATAACCACTTGATAATAATAATCTTTATTTCGAAAATAAGATGAAACATTTCAATAGCATAAAGGAGACTTACAAACAGAAGCTTTATAAACTATTTTCATCATAAGTATTAAGTACATCACTGATATCCTCATGGATTTGCTTGAATTGACGTAAAAGGAATTTTGGACAAATTGACGCCATCGCCAGTACCATCGGCATTCCACAGATGTCTTCAAAAATTTCAACCAGATTGTACGCCACATTCGCCAAAGTATGTATATCTACAGTGTGGCTTCTTTCTCCATTCAAAGCTTCTCGTACTCTTCGGGTGAGTCCCCTGCGCCATAGCTTACGCAGTACAACATCTTCATTAGCTAGGTCTACGAGGCCGTTAAGGTAGAAAAGAAACTTTGATATTTTTCGGTGAGTTGGCTTCTCCTTCTCGACTTTAGACGATTTTAAGGCACGTAAAACCGTCTTGAGTTTGGTATAGGGTTGCTCCACCGGCATTCGCACTATTTCGCGCACTTTTAAAATTAGTCGATAATCCAAGGCCCCCAACACACACCAAAATTTTACGGTTTCCTCTTCGACACCTGAGGAATCGAAGCACTGTTCTATTATAGCAATCCAAAGTTCTGGATCATACCGTATAAAGGGAGGTAATTCAAGTAGGAAATTTTCTCTAAAAAACCTATTGCTGCTGAACGATTTATGGACAGACATGATTTCTAATATATTCACGTCTCACTTTCTTTGCCAAATGTAATATTTTCTAAAACTTCACTTTCACTGTTTATGTTTATTACACTTTGTGAACTAATTCTTGCTCAAATATCTAACCTTATTATATAGGTATTAGATATATAGAAACTGATACCTGTTACAGGTGGTTTGTCATTTTAAAGGCGAAACAGGTATATTCAGGCAATTATAGAGGTAAGAATACTCTACAGGTACAAGTAATTCGATAACTGTGTGATTGCATAAAAAATAAAATGGCCTGATTTTTTTTCCTGAGCTTTCAAGTTCCTAGTATTGCACTCAATTCGTTATTTTCTAATTTAATATGTATTTAATTATTTAAAACATAAATCGAAAAGTGAAAAATTTACGAGCGAAATTCAAATTTGTAAAATGCCCCACCATTGGTCGAAATGAAACGTGACGTCATAGGGCATGTCCTGTCAGTCAGCTGTGATTTATTTTCATACATTCAGGTTGTGTTGGAGAGAAAAATTGGTTGTATTTACTATAATTTACTGTATCTTTCTTGATCTGAAATAAACACAACACTTGGTGAAGCATCTTGGGATACCTAAGTAGAAATAATAAATAACTTTACATATAGGTGAATAGAAAATAGTTTTTTTTAAGTCTATGCAGAGCTTAGATGAAGAATCTTCTAAGATGTTATGACATACGTAAATAAGGTTATGAACTTATAGAAAGTTCTGTAACCCAGGGATTTCTACAAAACTACACGATGCTATTTGTCCAAATATAATACACTTACATTAAAATGATCTTCACAACAATGTTGACCCGATATTGGAGATACATTATCCCTTCGCATAACCTTACACCATTGTATACGTATGTTCGGATCTCTTGGAACAGCAAAAAAAAACTTTATCTGGTGTACTTTTTATAGTGTTCGGACACATTGGTACCATGCAATATCTATAAAATGGTTTTTTTTCTTCTTACATTATTGTTACGCGATATTTAAACTAAAACACCTTGTTAACTATCAAACCAACTCTCAATGAAAACAATAAACTGCCAGGACGTGCCCTATGACGTCATGCCTCAAGCGCGCGAGAAATAGGAGCGTTTGAACTTGTCAAATTAAACCAATATTTTAAAGATTTTATGAAAAAACTATTACTACTCTTACAGCTATGTTTTTTTTTTCTATATCAAAATGATGTGAATATTGAATAAAAAAAATTAAAAAATTGCCTGCATATTCCCTATTGAATGATTTTTTCACCTTCTGAATTTGATGAACTTATTTGACAAAATGACAGTTGTCAGCGTGTTTTTTAGTTTTTTTAAACTATATTTATTTTTAACTTTTCAGTTCGAAGAATACTTAGCTTTTAGTTGAACTAATTCACACAGTTATCAAATTATTACCTGTTTACCTGTTGAGTTTTCTTACCTCTATAATTGCCTAAATATACCTGTTTCGCCTTTAAAATGACAAACCACCTGTAACAGGTATCAGTTTCTATATATCTAATACCTATATAATAAGGTTAGATATTTGAGCAAGAATTAGTTCACAAAGTGTAATAAACATAAACAGTGAAAGTGAAGTTTTAGAAAATATTACATTTGGCAGAGAAAGTGAGACGTAAATATATCAGAAATCATGTCTGTCCATAAATCGTTCAGAAGCAATAGGTTTTTTAGAGAAAATTTCCTACTTGAATTACCTCCCTTTATACGGTATGATCCAGAACTTTGGATTGCTATAATAGAACAGTGCTTTGATTCCTCAGGTGTCGAAGAGGAAACCGTAAAATTTTGGTGTGTGTTGGGAGCCTTGGATTATCGACTTATTTTAAAAGTGCGCGAAATAGTGCGAATGCCGGTGGAGCAACCCTATACCAAACTCAAGACGGTTTTGCGTGCCTTAAAATCGTCTAAAGTCGAGAAGGAAAAGCCAACTCACCGAAAAATATCAAAGTTTCTTTTCTACCTTAACGGCCTCGTAGACCTAGCTAATGAAGATGTTGTACTGCGTAAACTATGGCGCAGGGGACTCACCCGAAGAGTACGAGAAGCTTTGAATGGAGAAAGAAGCCACACTGTAGATATACATACTTTGGCGAATGTGGCGTACAATCTGGTTGAAATTTTTGAAGACATCTGTGGAATGCCGATGGTACTGGCGATGGCGTCAATTTGTCCAAAATTCCTTTTACGTCAATTCAAGCAAATCCATGAGGATATCAGTGATGTACTTAATACTTATGATGAAAATAGTTTATAAAGCTTCTGTTTGTAAGTCTCCTTTATGCTATTGAAATGTTTCATCTTATTTTCGAAATAAAGATTATTATTATCAAGTGGTTATATTGAAAAAAAGTGGTGTACATAAATTGTAATTGTGTGATTTTTACATCGAAATCGTCATGTTATGTAGGTGTATTTACAGTAATTTGATTTTCATAAAAAAAATTACAATACCCACATTCATGATAACTACGGTTGAAACAGCTGTCTACCTGTGGCTCTTAAATTGAAATCAATATGTGAGTGATCAGAATAGTACTTATCTATTTATCTTTCGATTTTCATATATTGATACAAAAAAATTTATCAAGATGGAGTAGTAGAAAGCCAAAACCTTTCTTTTCCAAAAACTAGTCACTTCTAAAAATATAATCCTTTCAATATAAACCAGATTCCTTCTGGCTGGGATTTAATCAAATAAGTGAATGAATGTCATCGATGACATAAATAGATCAAACTTATTCCGTGACATAAAAATCGTAATTTATGAATGAATTGTGTAGTTTCTTTTTATAATATTCTCAAGATCGGTACTGAAGAGCCCTAAGGCAAGTGTCTTACGGGGAAACATCGATGTCTACCAGTGAGGATGAGAGGGTTCCATGTAAGTGAAATTTTTGCGATTCATTCAGTATACTATATAGAAATCCTGTGAATAGTATCTGATTTAATTCCATAACGAATGTTTGGAATACAAATTGAGTAGAGAAGAGTGTTTTTTGTATAATTTAGTGTTCGTTCAAAATGATTTTTCTTTAGTGTAATTCAATGTTTATATGAAAGTAGCTGTTTCAGAAGGGCTTTTTCTTCCAGTTTGTGTCCGAAAGTTACTTCTTTGCATCATCTGCACATCTATGTATAGAGTTACTCCTTTTAAAGTTGATGGCTTCCTTCTTTTCTTAGGAAGATTCCGCCGTTTTTTGTATCAAGATAGAGTAGTACAAAGCCAAAAACTTTCTTTCCCATACATGTTATATGTTGTTTATTGACCTTCTCTATTCATACCTAAGGTGACATGGATAAACAAGGCCAATGCTGACTTCTGCTGAATCGACATCCAGCAATACGCAGTTCTCCAAAAAGACAACACAAAAAACCTTTATTTTTTTTGTTCCATTTTAGAATATGAAAACAATAATGAACGAAAAAATACTAGTATTATTGTGAGAAAAGCGCGAGCGCTTTGTGCCATATTTTTTGTATATCGAGCGCCCATGCTTTAAAAAAAGTATTTTTAATTTTTCAGTTCGATGTTCTTCAAAAGCGTGTGTTTTAGTGTTTTTAAACTACATTCATTAGTAACACTTTCCATTTGCGGTGCAAAACGGTCTGTAATTGTTCTACATTGTGCTTCAAAATTTGTGTAGATTTCATAAGCATCAATAGAATTATTTAATCAGTCGCACGATAATAAGTTCAAATTGATATTATGAAAGGCATCTATACCAAGTTTTCTTGTGAGGAAATAGCTTTCTATATAGTTATTATTTTTATGGGTAAGTTAATTGTAATGATAGAATGGTCAGTAATTTTAGGACAGTCGTGCACATTGACAAATATATTCTGATTCAATAAGTGTAGCACTAATGTTTGTAATCCTGGTAAATTCATTTACAAATTGTTCAATACTATTTGATTGAATAATATTTTTGATTTGGCGTGTGTAATGATTGTTCTTATTCAAATAATTCATATTGATATCTCCTATAAGAATACATTTATTTTTAGTACAAAAATAATCATCGCACCATTCCTCAAAATAAAAAAGCTTGATGACTGGCATTTGGTGAGCGATAAACACCACCAATGAGCAGTTTGGTACCACTAAGAGTTATATTTACAAATTGACACCAGTAATTCATTTGTACTACACATTTTCGACTTATCCTATATTCAATATTGTGCCTGATGTAAATAATTACTCCACCTGTGTGGCATGAGCTAGAATTGCATCTCACTTAGGAGTTTCACAATAGGTGTATTTTTATATTTCAGCATTTTTTTGTTTAGAATTAAGTATTTTTTTATTACTTATTAGAAATGTATGTGAAACAGGATGACCTTATTTCCAATAAAGATTTTTATTATATTACGGATAACTTGTTCGATTGATGATTCATTCATTTTGTAGAAATTCATATTGAAACCGGTCATAACAAATAATAAAATTAGTAGAAATTAAACAAAGGTATTTTTTTTATCCTGTATTCAATATTACGGACTACGGCATTACTTGATTTTTTCGATAATTTTGGATAAGGTGGATCATCTTTAGCACTATCCTTGAATGTCAGTATACTTGCTATGATACTGAGGAATTTCTTTCTGATGACGAATTAAGGCAGGAACTTGTCAGAGTTTGCCCTTTTTACACCTGTATAAAGTTTTTACAGCTGTATAAAGTTCCCATTATGATTTTCATATTTTTCAGATTGAGGAATATGAAAATACCCAAAGGTCAATAAAATCATCCACAAAAAATGACTCGAGGACTTTGTATTATAAAAAAAAAACTTATCTTACCTCCGTATTTGGTAAATATTTGTTTGCAGTTGTGTCAGGAACTGGAACACTAACAACTTTTTTGGTATTTCTCTCGATACCTCCAAAAAGCCATTGTCCCTCTACCAGTCGTCCTCTGTTTACCAAACTTTTGCCTAAATTTCCACGATTTTCCAACTCCGCCCAATTTAAACATGTTTTTATTGCACCATTCAAGACAAACCTAAAATGATAGTGAATGTAATAATACACAATACTTCAACAAAAACCAGATATGAAGGAAAGAGAATTGAAACTTTCTATGTTTTTTGCCACAATTAAAAGTGGTAAAAAACATAGAAATTTTCATCTCTCATTTTTCATGATCTCCTACCACACAGTAACGGCAACATCCATCAATTCATTGAAACCAGATGTTTTACTTCTCTGGAATAATTGCTCCAATTGATTGCATCTTCTGAGCTCATTTTCAGTTTCTTCCTGATAAATTTAAAAATAGGTTATGGAATAAACAAGAAGTATGCTATGAACAGTACCATTTTTTCTAATTCAAATAAGGTTCCCATTCTAGCACTTTTTTGAAATTGCAACAAATGTACCGAGCTTTTTTCTTCCTTATTTTGTTACATCTATATAGTAAAGTGACAATTCAATTTGCACTCTTCATTGCAATTGGTACAACGTATTGTTGCTGCAAACACTTGCTACTTGAACTAAATAAAGAATTAAATTTTCTTGTAATTTCTCTAAATTATTATCGCGATTTCCATAAATTTTAAATTAAAAACAAGAAACAATTCAAATAAATTGATCCAATTTCTATCAAATTGTCAATGTCAAAGATTAAACTTCTTCTTCTTCTTTTAATAAGTTAGGTTACTGGACCATCAACTCAGTTTCGTTCCATGTGCACGCCCTGTGGTGGGGGTGCATGGAGAACAAAAAATGCCCTTATCCATGCAGTGGGGGTTGTATATATGGGTGATTGTTTAAGAAGTATAGGAATTAATTTTCAACACCACAAAAAAATTGAAAACATTGATGAAATCTTTATTGGAATCGATAGAACAATCAATATAATTCAATGTTTAAAGATGATTTCATGCAAATGTTGTCCGCGGCTCCGCTTTAGATGCCCCATGCGCAAGGTCCAATTATGGCACACTCTCTTCAAGATATCGACCGGTATTTCACGTATAAATACTTCAATATGGGCTCCCAGAGCATCAGTTGGACGACGAAACTGCCCATAAATTGGAAGAAGTGCAAGATGCACTTTCTTCACCGAGCAAGAATTTTGATAATAAAATTCAATAATTTGCAAGCGTTGTTTGTTCGTAAGTCGATTCATGGTTAAATTATAGACCAAAATGAACAAGTTTGACAATGACACAAGACACGATTCTCGCGAGATCTGTCAAAAACAGTGTTGCCAAAAAGATACCAGCAAAAAATCACTCATTACATATATATTTGAATGATGCAAGTAGTTTTCCTTTATTTTCAGTAATTTAATATTGATATACGTTACAAAAAGGATTTGAAGCCTTATAACTCCTATTTAATTATATGCAAGCGCTTTCGACAGTTGGTCGTGCTGTCATCAAGGTTCTACTCAAACTGAACGCGTTAACCTCTTGTTTGTTCTTTTATGCAGCCCGAACGCCTTAGTGCAGGTTCTTTAAGTAAACTTGGCCGTATTTGGGTTACATCAGGTAATATTCTTTGTGTTAGATCTTCTCTAGGTTTACTGTTTCTAGGAGTGTGTATTGTTTTGTGTAATATAATGAATATTAAAAGTCTTGTGTTTTGATACTACCTTTCAACATATGATTCCTAGCACGGGTTGGGCGATAGCAAGTGAAAATCGGTCGCTCAGCCTGTGGCTTGAACCACCGATCAACACGGCGTTCAATTTGAGTGAGTGAACAAAGCACCCACGTCAAACCGACCGGTCAAATAATAATTACCTATTTTTTATCTGATGCGCATCGAATGTCAAGATAACCAAGAATCAAGAATAATTCAAGCAACAAAACTTTTGAATAATTTTTCTAGCTCATATACAGTTGTGGCTTATGACATGTATAAAAACTGATATGTGAAATCCCTGTATAATTGATTCTTTATTATTAACAGGGGGATAGCTTGTACCCGGTTAAGTACCTCCACCAAATATGAGCCCCATATATGAGGCCTCCTGTGAGGGATAAAGGATCAGATTAGTAAAAAAAGATTATCATCAGAAATTCTCGAGCGCGTCAGATTAAGGTAGGGCGAGTTAATTACCTGCTAAAAAGTGTATATTCCAGTAATCTGACAATTTGAGAGTGACGTAAAGAAGGGGGAGGGCAGCAGTTGTAAAAAATATCGTCATTTTGACATTCTCGAGCGTAGCTAACTTTTTTTATTTTGAAGGAAATAATTCAAGGATAACAAAAAGTATATAATCTGACGATTTCCGCAAGCCGAAATAACAAAAATTCGCCGATAAAGTTTAATGCGTGCAGCTGTGTGATACATATATTTCCCCCTTCGAGTTTCTATTCCTCTTTCACTTTTTCTCTATCTATTACTCTCTCACTCCGTCCCCACTCTGAATTATGTTGCCATGACGCCATCACAGCTAATCACAGAGACTCGTTTATGGTAAAGATGAAAATGATGATTAATTAATCAATTAATTGATGGATGTAGCCGTTACTACGTGGTAGGAAATCATAATGAAGAAAAGAGAATTAAACTTTCTATGTTTTTTACCACTTTTATTTTTAACTAACGTTACTGCAGTTTCGTCCTATATGGACATTCTCCAACTTATACAATATATAAGGACATTTTCAAACGTATACAATATATAAGGACATTTTTAAACGTATACAATATATAAGGACATTTTCAAACTTATACAATATATAAGGACATTTTCAAACTTATACAATATATAAGTTTGAAAATGTCCTTATAGGACGAAACTGCAGTAACGTTAGTTACAAATAGAAGTGGTAAAAACAAGCAAAGTTTTATTTCTCTTTTCTTCATGAATTAATCAACTGATTATAAAAAATTAAATTTTTTGAGCATTCAGTAAGTCTATCTTCGCCAGTTATGTGAACAACACAAATGTATGGCACAGAAAGTAGGTCTATTTCATCAGTTCGAACTCCATTGTCTAATACAATATAAATTGATTTGAAAACCCTGAAAAAAATTAAAAAGATTAACCGAAAATTACGATTTTATTAAACAAAAAACTGAAATTACAAAGAAATAACATACAAGCAACAGTGAGGAGCTGATCGGCCGTAAGTCTATCTTCGCCAGTTATGTGAACAACACAAATGTATGGCACAGAAAGTAGGTATATTTCATCAGTTCGGACTTCCATTGTCTAATACAATATAAATTGATTTGAAAACCCTGAAAAAAATTAAAAAGATTAACCGAAAATAACGATTTTATTAAACAAAAAACTGAAATTACAAAGAAATAACATACAGGCAACATCAAAACAAATAAAAAAAAATTGAGATATTAATGAAAGCTGAAATTAAAAAAAAATCAAAAAATATTGTTTTTGTCAGATTAAGCGAATCCCTCAAGATAATCGTCAGATTATGACACAGCACGTCTAAAACATAAAGATGAACCATATATATCTTAATCTGACGTGCTTGAGTATTTCAAAATGGCGAATTTTTTTTTGCACATTATAATAATGGCCGCGAGTTTGTGTCAGATCGAAAACGTCAGATTATTGAATGAGAGCTTTTTTAATTTTTCACAACTACCACAATATGGATATCAAATGACAGGGCTTGACTAGTAGTATGGAGGGTAGAGGTAGGGAGAACCGTCTCATATGAGGGGAACTTGAAAGTGTCCAACTTTCAAGAGTAAATAACAGTTCAAAAACCCTCCAGAATGGCGCTAGTGTAGGCACAAGGTGTGATATGAATCGAGCAGTTGTTAACTGATTGAAGTATGCCGAGCTACGAAATTTAATATATTTAATGACTAGAGTAGTTAGTGATGCAGCTGAAATGAAAACCAAAACGAATAACAAAAATGCCAAATTACTGAGTCAAGAGTGAAACTTATACCTTAAAAAATATGTGGTATAGCTTTTTTGGGAAAGAAAGTTTTTGGCTTTCTACTACTCCATCTTGGTACAAAAAAAAAGGGTGAGGGAATCTTCCAAAGAAAGGAAGGAAGTAATCAATTCGAAAACAAGTAACTCTATCATTTTGAAACGCTTGATCAGTATAACATTCAGAAGGTAATACATAAATAAAAGCAGAATTAAAGTTGAAAAAGTAGAGAACAAAAAATCTTAAAAAGCAAAGTAATAAAAGTCAATTTCCTAAATGTCAGTTTTAAAATAGATAGAATTCATGTTAATAAGTAATGGAGAATATAAAAAAATGGTATTTTAAAACACTTGGCCTTGTATTAAAAAATAATGAGTCTCTAAACTTGCAAATTCAAATTTATGTAAGAAAAAAACGATCATATACAAAAATGCAATAGGTATAACATGAATTGAAGGGGTTATATTTTTAGGAGTGATTAATTTTTGGGAAAGAAAGTTTTTGGCTTTCTACTACTCCATCTGATACAAAAAAATTGATGAGAGAATCTTCCAAAGAAAGGAAGGATTAATCAATTTGAAAATAAGTAACTCTATACATGGATGTGTAGATCATGCAAAGAAGTAACTTTCAGACACAAACTGAAAGAAAGTCCTCCTGAAACAGCTACTTTCATATACACATTGAGTTACACGAAAGAAAAAATTCTTTCGAAACAAATACTTCTATATGAACACTGAATTATACAGAAGATACTTTTCTCTACTCAGTTTGTATTTCAAACATTCGTTGTGGAATAAAAATCAGATATTATTCACACGAGTCCTACTTTGAATGAATGGTTATAAATTGCACTTACATGGAACAGTGTCACCCTCACTGGTATACACCTTGGGGCAAGTGTCTTAAGTCGAAATAATATCGTCTTAATATCGAAATACCAGTGAGGGTGACAGTGTTCCATGTAAGTGCAATTTATAACCATTCATTCAAAATAGAACTCATGTGAATGATATCTGATTTTCATTCCACAACGAATGTTTGAAATACAAACTGAGTAGAGAAAAGTCCTTCTGTATAATTCAGTGTTCATATAGAAGTATTTGTTTCGAAAGAATTTTTTCTTTCGTGTAACTCAATGTGTATATGAAAGTAGCTGTTTCAGGAGGACTTTCTTTCAGTTTATGTTTGAAAGTTACTTCTTTGCATGATCTACACATCCATGTATAGAGTTACTTATTTTCAAATTGATTACTTCCTTCCTTTCTTTGGAAGATTCCCTCATCCCTTTTTTTTTGTATCAAGATGGAGTAGTAGAAAGCCAAAAACTTTCTTTCCCAAAAATTAATCACTCCTAAAAATATAACCCCTTCAATTCATGTTATACCTATTGCATTTTTGTATATGATCGTTTTTTTCTTACATAAATTTGAATTTGCAAGTTTAGAGACTCATTATTTTTTAATACAAGTCCAAGTGTTTTAAAATACCATTTTTTTATATTCTTCATTACTTAATAACATGAATTTTTACATCTATTTCAAAACTGACATTTATGAAATTCACTTTTATTTCTTTGCTTTTCAAGATCTTTTGTTCTCTACTTTTTCAACTTTAATTCTGCATTTTATTTATGTATTACTTCCTAAATGTTACATTGATCAACCGTTGCGAAATGATAAGCAAACAATTGATTATGAAACTTCAGTTTTCATTTTATTTATTCTTCTGCATAACGAGATGGAAGTTCTTTCGATATTTTTATTTATCTATCCCTCTAATAAGTTTCAACGCCTTTTTTTTAATCTACCCTGTTGCTACCGCAGCGCCACCCTTATTTAGCACATTTTAACAGACACTTTTTACCATACAGAGACGATTCTCCTTACTCATTTCTACTTACCTTCCATAAGTAGTAGAAAAGTAGCAAACTTTGAAAAAGATGCAAATTTAAGATGGCCGCAGCTACAAAATGGCGAATTATATATTACCTTGTAATACTGAGGCACTAAATGAACTAAACAGAATGAGAAGAATTGAGTAACCAAATTAGAAACTAAAAACTTATGATTTTTTATTATTTTCAACAGTTTTATTGAAAAAAACCGATAATGATGTAGATGTTCTATAAAATAATTCGGAAGGTCCTAGGTAGCAGTCATCACACCACTCTCCACAGCAATCTACGGTATTGATCAGATAAAAAAGTAATAGAATCGATGGGCGTAGTATTTACATATTTACTTAGGTTAGGTTAGATTTGAATAATACCGTAGATTGCTGAGGAGGGTGGTGAGATGACTGCTACCTAGGACCTTCAGAATTATTTTTTACTTTTTAGTACATTATCTACATCGTTATTCTTTTTTTGTTTAATAAAACTGTTCAACATTCTTTTTTTTTTTTAATTGTCATCTCTACTTCAGTTCTGTTATCTTCCATTGAATGAAGAGCAAAAAGTTAGTAATCAGAGTTCAAAATTAGCTCCACAAAATGGCCCAAAATCATTGTTAAATTCCAAAGTGGTTCTGCCAGCTCAACAATAGTTATTCGTCTGGCTCAAATTTTTTTTACAAGTTCAAGGAGTGAAATAATTTATGTACAAGGATAAAATATTTTTGCAAATAATATGAAAATGTTGATTTTGGAAATATTTTAGTCACAACCGACGATTTGAACTGAATTTTTTGAATGGTGTTGAAAGTCAATTAACCCTAAAAAGCAGCAAATGTTACGAATTGGGTTTTTGCTACATAATAATTATTGTTAACTCAAAAAAATATTACTATAATCAACAACAATCTATAAGGAATCTTGGAAAAATGAAAATGTGAAGATAAAACCCTCATTAAAATATACACAACTAAAATTCAACTAGGAAGTTTTTGCTGTTGGTTCTACTTCTTTTTGACTATCAGAGGTCCAACATTGTCGCCGGTTAGTTTGTTGTGTTCGCCATGACTGCCATCACAATATGGCCACTAGAACAAAAACAGTATAAGTTGGAGGAAGTAAATTACAAATTGAATGAACAGCTAATTAAAGTGTAAGAAACAACGAATAATTTAGAGGAGGATCCATGTTTAGAATTGAAAAGGGCAATATTTTTAAGAGAGACAAGTTTTTATTTAATCCTTTGGCTTTCCACTTCTCCACTTCCACTGTTTTGGAGATATTTAGAGCATAAACAGAAATTTCAGGTACAAACTGGAAGCAAAAAACCCTAAAAACATTACCCTATTCATTTCAAATGAAATTTCCATGGCTATGATGAACTAACCGTATGAATGTGTTTACATAATATCATCATGACAAGAGCAGAAAGCGAAATAAAAAATGGAGTACCACAAGGTTCAATACTGGGACCGATACCTTTCTTGATATACATAAATGGTACAACATCTATCGATATAGAAGGAAAATTTACCCTATTCGCCGGTGATAACTCAATATTATGGCGTAATAAAACTTTATGTACTCTCCACAAGATTATAAGCTTAGATATGAGAAAAAAACTGGTGCAACTGCATGCTGCTGTCATTTATTGTTTCCAAAACAAACTTAATATTATTCCACTGCTTTATGGACAGCATATCATTAACAACAAATGATGCAGACAAGATGATAGAAAATAGACCTAGTTCTAATTTTTTGGGGGTAATAATTGACAACGAACTCAAGTTCGCCAATCACATTGTAATCTTCAAGGTGCTTGGCAGTCAGAATCAGAATCATTTTATTCATCACAAAAGAATACACATTGTATGGTGAAAACTACAGAATATGTAACTTATCAGACTAGTCAAAAAAAAATTTGTATATAAAGTAGATTGACTAAAATTGATAAAATAAAGACAATACAATATCTTGCTACCGCTCATATCTATTAGATTTTTCATCTAATTGAAACATTTTACAGCAACATATTTTGGGGAATTTTGACCAATGAGAAGCCTGGAAAAGGGCAGATGAATATTTTCCTTATTCCTTGTATCATGTGCATGTATTTGATCATTTTTCAGAAACGTATTTTCATTGTCCTTTATAAACAATATCAAGTTCAAGATGTAGAGTCAAGGTAACGTTAGTATTTTAGAATTTCGGAATAGTGGCTTACAAGATTCTGAAGGGTGAGTTTTATTCATAGCTCTGATGATTTTTTTCTGGGAACGAAAAGCCCCTAGTATGTGAGTTGAGGATCCCCAAAATATTATCCCATATTGCATAGCTGACTGTGCCAGTCCGAAATAAATAATTCTCAGTACATCAGCTGATACTGTATCCCTCAGATTCCTAATAATGTATGTGATTGTGCTGAGTTTTGAACATAAAGTGGTGGTATGGTTTTCCCATGAAAGTTTCCTATCAAGCACAACACCTAAGAACTTCATACTCTCTTTGCTTTCTATCGATTTTCCATTGACTGTTAAGTAGAGATCATTATCAGGATTCATATTTTTTGGTAAGAATCGAATATGATAGGTCTTAGCGGCGTTTAGTGCTAGTCCATTTTTACTACAATAGTCACTGATTTCCTTTGATGCCTTATTACCATTCTTTACTAGTTGCTCATTATTTGTTCTGGACATTAAAATATTCGTGTCATCTGCATAGAGAAGGATTTGATCTGCAGCAACACAGGTGTTCTTTATGTCGCTGGTGAATATTATAAAGAAAAGAGGTCCCAGAATGGAGCCTTGAGGTACACCTTTATGATAACTTTCTCTTGTCTTTGATTTTATGGAATCTAGTACAGTTTGTTTTCGATTGTCCAAGTAAGAAGTTGCCCAGTTCAGAGCAACACCACGAACTCCTGTAGCTTCTAGTTTGAGTCTTAATAAGTTATGGTCTATAGTATCAAATGCCCGGCTTAGATCATAGAATAGAATGCTCTATATATGAATTCCAAACAGTCATAAATTGCAGTATTAGTTGATTTATTTTTTTGAAATCCGTTCTGAATGGATGGCATTAGTTGGAAGTTTTCCAAATAAGCTGTCAATCGTGTGGAGTATGATGTCTCGAAAACTTTTGCAATTTGATTTTGTATGCAGATAGATCTATGATTTTTCATTTCGTTTATAGGACCTTTGTTCTTATAAACTGGAATGCATTTAGACTCTTTGATGGTAGGAGATATTCCAGACGTGAATGAATCATTTATTAGTTCACCTAATGGCTGGGCAATAAGTTTACTAGCAGCCTTCAGGAGCTTACCATTTATGCCATCCATTCCTGCTGCAGGTTTAGATGTTGTTTTTGAGATGATTTCATGAACTTCTTCAGGTGTTACAGGAGTTAGGAAAAAACTTTTATGAAATTTATCGAAATGTTGATCGAGATTTGGTTTAGGACAATTTTGAAAGGAATCTATAAAATAATCATTGATATAGTTGCTTTTTTCCAGTGGATCTGTTATCAGTTCACCATTGTCGTTTTTTACACTTATAGAAGGGTTCACCTTATTATTCTTATTTTCTTTATAATGATTTTCCAACTTTCCCTCATTCTGTTGTTTGATTAATGACTTATAAAGAACTTGGTTTTTCTGTTGCTAAATTGGCTCAATTTTCATTCACTGATTCTCGTTTAACGTATGGAATTCCTTCCTGGTGAGTATGTTGCAAAACTCTATTGCATACTGTTTTCATTATACAGAAAAGAGCTATAATTTCATAAAGTACACCTTACGATTTGGCATGAAATTACATGAAATTACTATGGATCTTCATCAAGTAATAGCTGAATCAATCAGAAAAAAGAGCTATAAGATTCATGTGCAATGCCAAAAGTCGAGCCTCCTGTAAACCCTTGTTTAAAGTCTTTGGAATTTTAATTTCAGAAACAGTCTGTTTGATTAACAAACATATACTGATATTTAGCAGCTACTCCAATAATCATGCCCTTCGTCAAGCTAATGATCTAAGATTACCCATACCAACCTGTTCTCCAGTCAAAGACTCTTTTTTTTTTTATTATAATGGTCTTTAGATGCTCAATCATTTACGTAACAATACTGAAATTTCAGAGGGTAACTATGAATTTCGGAAATCAGTAAAAGATTTATTATGTGGTAGACCCTATTATAGTTTAGAAGAGTTCTACGAGGACAGTTTTTTCTAATTCATTTTATTATCTGTATTTTTTATATATCGACGAAGTATGGTATACTGCATTTTCAAAATTTCAAATTTTTCTGGTAATTGTAATATCATCCCTCTTCAGTATCTGTATGTATTGTATGTGTTTTGGATAAAAGTGTTTAATGTATGTCTATATTTGTGCAGATATATTTTAATTTCATTAGTTTGGAATTCCATTGTCTAATGTGATATAAAATGATTTGAAACCCTGAAAGGGATTGGATAATGGAAGTCCAAACTAATGAAATGCACCATGAAACATCGTCAACCACCTTCAAACAAAGATATATCTTTACACTGTATTTAAGCTATTTTAAAATACTATGTACATATACAGTGTGTCCAAGATAAGGATCCTAAGTATGGGAATCTCAGTACCTGTTGGAGATACAGCTTAGGTTAAATTAGGAAAAAGTTGTGTTCTTTAAAGCTTATTTACATGCCGTTTAGAAACTTGAAGAATTTTCATGGCCTGCTGAGATATTTGGGAAAAACGAGAATTTGACAATATCAATTTTATTTTTTTCTGACTTTATTTGAAAAGATATCAAAAAACGAATAACACTTTTTCATTGGCACTTTTNCTTTAAAAAAATCATTATTAACCTACTTAAAAATACATTTTAAAAATAGAAAAAATGCAATTTTCCCTTAAACTAAAAAGAAAACAATGGCATGTGTTACATCGTTGAATTCGTAATAAAAAATGGAATCAGATACAGGGTGTACTTTTTTTTCGGGCTATTTAAAAAAATAAAGTTGATGATGGTTTTTTGAAAACGAAACGTCGGATATAAAAACTAAAAATACCATCGTGTAGTACCTTGAAAGTGCCAATGAAAAAGTTTTATTCGTTTTTTGATATCTTTTCAAATAAAGTCAGAAAAAAATAAAATTGATATTGTCAAATTCTCGTTTTTCCCAAATATCTTAGCAGGCCATGAAAATTCTTCAAGTTTCTGAACGGCATGTAAATAAGCTTTAAAGAACACAACTTTTTCCTAATTTAAACTAAGCTGTATCTCCAACAGGTACTGAGATTCCCATGCTTAGGATCCTTATCTTGGACACACTGTATATGTATATGTATATTTATAGTTATACGGTGACAAAAGAAAATTTGCAAATTTGCAGTTTCATCAATAAGGCCTGATGTTCTCTAGACAATAAAGCATATTACTATTATAATTATTATCTATTGCCATGTAATGAAAACTGCAGATAAAGACAGAGAGCAATTTCCATTTTTACATTCGATGACCTAATTTGACTTTGCAACAGACTGCCGTGGGAACCTTTGTTTATCGTGGATAAGCAATGTTTGAGTTTAATGCCAATCTTATGGGAAGGTTTCACCACCTGATAACAGACTTGTGTCATTTGCGAAGATAGTTTTGAACTGACCCCTTCCCACGTCTGTGGAAAGGGTTTCGGACTTATAGAATCTTCCATTTCGATATATGCTATGATTTCGTTAATTGCAATTGAGCTTTTTTTCATAATACTAGTAGGAATTTCATCTTCTCCACTGGAATGTTTATTTTTCAGTTTTCTAGATAGTTCTATTATTTCTTCTGGGGTTATGGGTCTCCTCATGAACATCGACTGCATATTTACAGGGATATCACTTTGAAATGAAATATTTGAGGAATTTTCTAGTAATTGAGGTACCATGTCTACCAAATATTTATTGTAATCATTAACTATTTCGTTTGGTTCGCTGTTTATGCACACTCTTCATTTCGAACTCTTCCCTTTATTTCAGAGCAAATGCTCCACATGCACTTTGATTTATTATCCAAGTTGTGACTGTATATATCATGGCAGTATATATTATTGGAGGTAACGGAGAGCCTTGTGGAACTCCCTGGTGAGGAGAAATTTTTTGGAAAATGAATTTCTGACTCTGAAGGTGAGGGTTCTATTCTCAAAATATTGTTTTATTGTACAGAGAAGATGGACAAGGGTTTTCAATTCTTGAAGTTTATATAACATTCCTTTATACCAAACCCTATCACAAGCTTTATTGATTTACAAAAATAGCGCCGCAGAGTGCAGGTTGGTCATGGTCATAAATAGACAGCATCCTGTATACGACGGTTTATTTTAAAAGCCTGTAATATTACAAATTACACAACTATGGTGTCAACCACGGTCAATTTTTTTTGAAGAGTAAAATAATTTTCAAAGTTTCTGTTAACACCGAAAATTATTCGAAACTATCCAGTACTATAACAAGAACTCAATATTCAATAATATCAAAACACGAAACATCAAAATAAAATAGGTATTTTGGAACAAACTCATTGATTTTCTGAAGATTTTCTTGTCCAAAATAATTCTCCTCTATTCTAGAGTAAAAATGAGCTTGAATGTTTGACAGTTCATATCCCAAATTCACAAATAGTTAGTGTAAACAACAATGGTAATTAGGGACGAGTTATATAAAAGTAGAGGTGTAGTTACACTTGATCCGAGTAAATACTTTTCAGACGGTGGATATTAGAACCCTATTTGTTATAATAATGGATGTTGTAACCGAGGTCATTAATAAACATTATATGAAAATGCAATTCAAATTCGTTGAACTAATTTTATTTATTTTTCAGATTGTGAAGGTTAAAACACAAAAAGCATCAATAAAAATCAAATGAGACATTGCACAGAATTAATAATCAATACCTATCTTCAAATATTTGGTTTGAGAAAAGTCGAAAAATGTATGAATAGACTTACATTTTTGCTCCTCCAGCACCTGCAGAATACAGCTTTTTCTGCAATATCTTCTACATCAACTGCATCAACTACTTTTTCATTTCTCTTGAGAATATCTGGATTCACTTTCGAGCATGGTGGAGGACGACCATGTGGACAGAAAGCTTTATATGAGATATAGGTGAAACCAGCTGCCAGAGCTGTGGGTGGAATCAGAGCTAGCCAATCTTTAACTAAAAAAAATAAACTTAGGTTACGTAATGATGAAAAACTCATTCGTCATTTCAGACACGTTTCAACTAAACACCTTTTTATGAAAAGGATGTCTTTCATAGAATCTTCCAAGAAAATAATCAAATATAGAAATCCACTGTACTCACATCCTAACCTAAACCATCCTCCAACTGAATCGGGAATAGGTAAATTGGATAAATAATTGGGGATAGCATTTTTTACTACGTACGCAATAGGCTGCATATTTACTATAAAAGTTTATAAAATTCTAGAAAAATCCACCAAAACTGCTCAACACCTTTGACCCCGAAAAGCTCTTCTTTCGTCAGTGACAAAGACTAAACTTGATTAACGCCACTAAGAAACTGATGCCAATGGAAATTGTACAAAATACTCTAAAATTTCAGACAAAATACTTGTATTTTACTTAATTAATTAATAAAAATAACCACACAAACTCCTCACACAGCTTATTCTGATTTCTAATCCAGTCAAATCCAGTGACCTTAGAAAACTGCGATGTTCCGTGATACAACTGATGACAAATGTCATTTAATATTTCATAGAATAACAGAAAACATGAAACTAAAGAAAAACATCTACGTCCATGATGACAAAGATGAAAATATTTGCTATGAATAAAACACATTTCAGTAAGCAGGAATTTTGGTAAAAACATTCGACCTTATGGTTGAGAAATGGTTCTGATACAGATTCTGGGAAACATGTTCTTCCTTACGAATCAGTAGAGAGTTGTTCTGACTTAAACAATTGTTCATACAGTTGCAGTTTCGTAAGAATTTATCATCTTTCTCACCAACCGATTTCCTGGAGTCTTTGAAGTCCACTAGATATTCCTTAGAACAACAAGAGGATTGCTCCGAATTCTTGGGATTCTTGTTGAATACTCTTCGTGAGCAAAAAAATAGCAGAATCAACACTCCGGACCGCTCTGGATTGAATGATTCCGTACAGTCTATTTCGTCTTGTGTTTGTAGATATTGTGCTGGAAAAATTCCCACTTGTTCACTCTGTAATAAATATTCAAGAGGTAGCAAAAACGTATGTGATTTTCTGAAACTTCAACTAGCGTTTCCTAATATGACTGATAACCAGTCCGTGGAAAGCTTATTGTCGAATCATCTAAAATGGACCACTATTATAATATTCATGCAGTCATTATTCACTGTGGTTCTGGCGTTGAATCTGTTCATTATTATGCATTGGTCAAAGACGAAACGGACTGGGTTAAGTTTAACGATAGTCGTGTCACGAAGTGTTCTGGCGATGTCTTGGATTTATTGGAACCTGTGGAGACACCTTACATTGTGTTTTATGAAAGAGAGGACATTGGTAGATCAAGATCTTCAGATGATGTGGTGCTGTAGGTTTTTCCGGGTTTTCCTGTATCTGAAAAAGCATATGCACCACTGGAATAATTGAAGTCACCCCGGAGCGCCAATTAATTTATGTTGTTTCATACTCTATACAAAATTCAGAAATAGACAAAAGTTACTGGCATACACTTGTGGATTATCACAAAAATAAATGTATTCTTTACACTAATCAAAACAAACAAGTTCTTAGTTTTGGTATATGTGATAAAGCGCCTTATAAATAAACGGGCGATACGAATAAAATTCTCTAAAACTGAAGTTTTGAAAAAAAAATCACCAAATCATGTAAAAAAATTGAGGTGAATAACTTCCTAGTAAAAATTGTTTCGTTTCCTTTTACGCTTTGCCCCCAAAGACCCAATTCCCAATTCTTGACACTCATAGGGTTTGATCTCACAACACGAATATTCTAGATGTTAATCTTGAGTGTAATTGGAACACAAATTTCATGGAACAAAATATATACTTATGTCTTAGAACAGATATTTGAATATCAATAATCTACCAATCAGTTTACTGGAAATCTTGGTGAATTTAGGATCTCTTTGTATATGTATGGAAAGTGGTCCAAGATAATTGTTTCTCAATATTATTCTTCTTCGACATTTGCCATCATTAACATCACAGGGGAATATTAATATTATTTTGGGGTTAATTTTTTCAAAATGATGGACTATTTTATGCTATGTTATATAGTATACAATTTGAAATCTGATCAATATGATATGATGAAATCCATATTGGTTCACAGATTAGTGTTAGTAACAGACTTCAATAAAAATTAAAACAACTATCAATTTGTTTTTTAGATCGTTTATCTAACAAAGGAAAGACATAGATAATGTAGGCGAGCTCTTGAATTTCATGGAGAATTCCTGAGGGAATTCTCTAATCAAAACTCATCGGTGATTTTGAAAACTCGTCTTGTTTTATTCATCTGTGTCTATGTTTCCTATCAATTTAGTCAATAAAAGTAAATAAGAAGAAGAATCATTCTGTGATTTTCTTCATACGTTGTGTTTTGTTGTCATTAATCACTTACCACTCCTGCCAAGTTTTATTCGCAATCTCTTCTCGATTTTTTTTGATCGAGCACAGAGTGCAAATATTCTTTTGCCAAATATGAAATGAGATCTGTACGAACAAAAAACACCTGAATTCCACACATAAGCTTTCTGTTTTATCCCTCCACGATTCAAAGCATTTAGTAGTTATAAGAAAAAGCATATTTCCCTTATATTTGCCTTTAATTTCGTCTGCATTGGGTTAACGCCCGATCAAGCCAGCAGGGGCAGGACCTTGTTTCCGTCTGTTATGGTTTTGATGACATTGGCATTTCTTTATTCCATCATGTACACTATCACAAAATATTCAATTGTGATAATACATTACGTATGATGACAATAATTTGTTGCAATGTCGCAGAAGCTCATCTTGCATTTGCTCAGATACCTTGCACTACCCGACAAACTAGTTAGATGCCTTGAACAACTGATACCACTTTGTTGGACTCGCTTCACCATTACATCTGGTCAGGCTAGAGTCCGAACAGGGTGGGCCTCTCTCAGAAGGGGTGTATTTCAGGGCGATTTCTACAGTCCTCAATCTCTTCTAGATCTCACTATTGCCATTATCCATTGCGCTCAGAAATCGAGGGTATAACTGTGGCACCCCCGGAAACCGGAGGCATAAGGTCACCCATTTGTTTTATATGGATGATCTTAAAGTTTATGCCTTTGGAGAGTTTATGTCCTTGAGAGTGGTAGAAGAGTACACGCATGCTATCGGTATGAAATTCGGGATAGACGAATGTGCAATGGTTCATCTCAAAAGAGGACGATGCGGGGACTACGGAGAGGATGTGCAGCTCGTAGATGGAAGCATCCTACATCATTTGGATGCCGGAGAGACGTATACTCACCTCGGGATGGAACAACACCATTCACAAGGGAAGACAGCAATGAAGAACTCTCTCCGCGGCAAGTATCAGCACAAACTTCGACTGATCTGGTCATCGGAAGTGTCGGGGAAGAACAAAGTTGCTGCAACAAATTTGCTTGCCGTTTCACTCTTACCCTATTCGTTTGGAGTAGTGAAGTGGACTCGAGAGGAGCTGTATCAACTCGACGTAAATACCCGAAAAATGATGCACCACCATAGGAGTTTGCATCTCAAATCGTCCGTTCCACGGTTGTACTTCCCCCGACAACCGGGAGGCTGTGAAATTTAGAGTTTGGAGTGTTTGCATGACAGAATGATACTAGATCCTGTAAAGTCGTTAGGAGTTCGGGTCCCTTTCTCTACATGGTTCGCGACCATGAGGGAGCAGGAATTGGAGCATTTCTCTCCAGGGCAGCTGCCCGCAGCTGGTGAACTCGGTTTGGTTTTCGACAGTGATCGAGGTGATCACAACTGTGTCACCGAGTTAGAACCCGTCAGGCAACAAGCTCATATAAAGCCGCAGAGATCACTTCACTCATGTGGCAACATAAGAATGAGCCAATGCATGGGGTCTTCTTCAACATAATTGAAGATCTTGACTTATCGAAGCGCCTGACCTTCGCTTTCCTCAGGTCGGGTGGGCTGGAGCCGGAAACTGAGGGGTTTATCATGGCCTGCCAGGATGGTGTCTTCAACACCTTGGTATACCGCAGTCACGTGCTGGGTATAGAGGTTCCTGACACAAGATGCAGGTCCTGCCGCAATCGATCAACCAACACACATACGTCGACGAAACGGAAGATCTGCCGAAAACATCGCCGCTGCCTGTGAGAGTGCAGGAGAATCTGAGGCTGTCGATCTCGAGTCGTTCACAAGAATTCGGCCTTTCGCAGACCCACAACCTGGCAAATTTTGCGTCGTGACTTGGGCCTACACCCTGCTCCTGACTCAGGAACTGCTCTAGAGCAGTTGGCAACTGACCGTAATTCTCATCGAAAATCATCTTCAGCGATGAGGATGAATGGGTACGTAATCAAACAAAATTGTCGAATTTGGGACGATATAAGATCCAAGAGCGTCCAAAGCATCCCGAGAAAGTCACTGTTTGGTGTTGATTTTGGGCTGGCGACGTCATTAGTCCATATTTCTCTGATAACAACATTGGTCAGGTCATCACTATCAACGGCGCGACGAGATCGTGCGTTTTGATTCCGTTATAATTTTACTTGTGAGGTTTCCTCGAGTAGCAGGTATATGCGACTAAGCCACAAACCACAGCGGTCCTCAAAGCCAACATAACCCATGTTTTTTTTTTTTATTTCAATTATACCGCATCAACCAGCTAGGTTATTAGCGGTCGAACAATAAGGTGTTTTATATTCTATATTATGTAGACATTTTGATACATTTCAAAAAACACAACAGTGAGTCTATTTTCTTGATATCTATAATACTGGAGTATTCATTTCCCAAGCCGGATATGAGTCTTTCGTTTTGGTAGCTGGGACATTCCATGATAATGTGCTTAACACTTAGATCAACGATGCAGTTGAGGCATCGGTTGGGTGTTTCTTTCTTGATTAGATATAGGTGAGTATACCAGGTGTGGCCAATGCGTAGTCGAGTGAGAATGACTTGCTCTCTACCACTGAGAGGGCGGTAGTTGTTAATAACTAGGTTTGGATTAATATCTCTGAGTTTAGTCGGAGTTAAGAAGCTCCACCGTTCTTTTCATCGATTGAATATAAGTTTTTTATGTCGTTATATAGATCTTCGTGTGGAACCTGGGAGTTTTGATATGTTCCTGGATATGTAGTGGAAGCTTTAGCTTCTGCGTCAGCGATTTCGTTGCATTTGATGCCTGTGTGAGATGGTACCCAGACTATTTCCACTCTTTTTCTGTTGTTGGTTAGTTCTACAAGTTCTCTTTTGATTCGAAGAAGAATGGCATTTTTGGGGTATAGTTGTTGAGGTTGAACTAAGCGAGTCCGTGAATATCACGGAGTTGCCTTCGGTTCTATTGCAGTGTGCTAGAGCAGTTTTGATGGCGTGAAGTTCAGCTGTGTAGATACTGGAAGCAGGTGGTAGGCGGTAAGTATAATTTGTCGTGTTCGTTGTAACTGCTGCACAAACCCCATCATTTGTTTTTGAAGCATCTGTATATATGTGGTTGAAAGATTGGTATTTTGAGGCGACTAACTCTGAGAATGATTTCTGTATAACAGCTGACGGTGTACTATTTATTCTTCGAAAGAGCGATCAATTAAGTATTGCACTTGGGAAGATTAATCGTCCAGGGGGGTGGAATTTGGGCATATAGTGGTGTGGGTATGGCTTTGTTTTGTGGGAAAATGCGTGCGTATCGGTTTGAGAAGGTATTTTGATATGTAGGACTGTATGTATTGGTTGATATTCTGGCAGCATACTTCAATTCCTGCTTCTACAAATAGGCTTTCTACCGGACTGATACAAAACGCCCCCATAGCAATTCTGATGGCTGTGTGATGAATAACGTCAATCGCTTTCAGAACAGATTTCTTTGCTGTTGAAAAGACTATGGATCCATAGTCTAGTTTGGATCGTACTAAGGCTCGATAAAGGTTCAACAAAATTGTATTTTCTGCCCGCTCCCAGGAAGTTTTGGTTAGAACCCTCATTAAATTGAGACCATTCGTGCATGACCTTCTGAGGAAATCCATATGATGGTTCCACTTCATTTTGTTATCAAAAATCAGACCAAGAAATTTAATCCTATCGGTGAAGCTCAACTGCTTCCCGTTCAGAGTGAGGACTGGAATGTTCCAAAAGAAAATAATCTTAAACGTTGACATTGAATAATTTAATGGAATTTTGTTCAGAATCGATTTAACTGCTGTATCTTTCGGAAAACATATTATTAGCATTTCAAAGCTCCATTTCTTCTGAACGAGTGAACCCATTCTCAGAAGCCAAGAAAGCAATAGTAATAGAAAGCTTTTTTCACTGATGTTTCACTTGACCCCCATTCATATTTGAAAAATTTGGGGGATGACTCGCTTGAAGAGCTGAAGATTTTGAATGGGTTTTAGATCACAACGTGTTTATCTGAAGGTGGTTGACAATGTTTCGTGGTGTATTTCATCAGTTCGGACTTCCATTGTCTAATATAATATAAATTGATTTGAAATCCCTGAAAAAAATTGAAAAGATTAACCGAAAATAAAAATTTTTTAACAAAAAATGAAAAATAAAAATTGAAAGATTCCAAACCAAGTTACGTCACGACGTTTGGATAGTTAGTATCCACAATCGTCTTCGGGTGATAACTAGACTTATTTCTCCGAGGTCTGACTATTTATAGGTCATTCGAGTGCTTTCACCTCTTCCCTCTCTCCGCCTCATTGATTTTAGCGGGAGATGACCGTTTGGCGGGAATTGGTCATTTTTCGCTTGATTAGAGGTTTCCATATGTTACGTATCTCTACGCTAGCTTGACTAAATGCGTTGTTGGACAACATATACGCGGCCTCTTTGAATTTTCTCCTAACCCAATGTTCCTCTTTGTGGATGATTTCAGCTTGAGCCCACTTGGTTTTATGTTGATGAGTCCAAACGTGCTCTGCTATTCCGGATTTGCTGGTTTCTTCTCGCTGTGTGTGTTTCTTGTGCTCAGCAATGCGAACTTTCAAAGACCTCTTAATTTCACCGATGTATGTTTCAATTTTTATTGGTTGTTGCTTGTATGTTATTTCTTCGTATTTTCAGTTTTTTGTTTATTAAAATTGTTATTTTCGGTTGATCTTTTTAATTTTTTTCAGGGATTTCAAATCAATTTATATTTTATTGGACAATGGTAGTCCGAACTGATGAAATACAACGTGTTTATGTATTTTTTCGAAAAGTTGTTTTATTGGCAGTTATGCCTGGCGGTACGTTTTTGGTGACCCACCATGTAAAAACATTTAAAGGGATACATATTCAACTGGTAGACCAAATAAAGATTTATAACCTCCAAAACAAAATTTAAAAAATGAAATATTGAAAATGGTCAGTTATTAAATAAATAATCTGTGCATGCAAAATATTGTTAAACCGACCCTGTGCTTGCCCGAATGAATGAGTGTCATTAAAATTTTTCTCAAAATGAGTACCCATATATTTTCCCATTTGAACCAAATTCATACCTAAAAATTGTTAGTCATACCTTGTCCATATTGACGTGTAATAGCCGATTACTAATTACTATTATTGGACCATTAACGTAATGAGTAGGGCAGACGACGAGTCAGTGTCAAATCAAAATACTTGTAGATTGCGCAGAGTATTCGTTTTTCTTCCCGTAAGAAAGGTATTCATCAATGCATGTGTTGCGTGAACCGGCAAATACGAAACAATGTAATTATCCTCATATCTCTATCAATACTGATATCAAAATAATCACTCTTATCTACGTTTATTTTTGAGAGACAACCTAGATCAAAAGAGGTCAGACGTGTTTTTAATTTTAAGGTTTGAGTAGTTTGTACCTAAATAAACCGAGATGGTGTGTCGGATTCATATTTTTGGTTCAATAGTTGTGATTTTTGTTCTTCAGTCAACAGGTGAGTTTTATACTTTCTGTGCACAGAGCAACTGATAGTTTTCGAAGTGGTAAACACACTCATGAAAACAAGTTTTCTTTATTAGTTTATAGAAATCTCTAAAACACATTTTTCTCTGAAATCCATTTGGTAGATATTTGTAATTTAATTTTGAAAAATACAATTCAAAAATACCATTTGAAATATCATGTTCCTATGCAGTGCTTGGTTTTTAATATGTCCTCATGTGATTGAAAAATTTAAAAGTAACCTTTATTTGTGAAATTGTAAAACAACAATAGAAATTAATTGGCGCTCCGGGGCGACTTCATTGATTCCAGTGGCGCATTTGCTTTTTCAGCTGCAGGAAAACCCGGAAAAACCTGCAGCACCAAATCATCTGAAGATCTTGATCTGCCAATGTTCTCTCTTTCATAAAACAAAATGTAGGGTGTCTCCAGAGGCTCTAATGAATTCGGTTAGAAGAAGCCATTTTGAAATCGATTCTTCGAAAATTTCTTAGACCCCGTGTCCAAGAGAGTTAAACACACCCCAATCAGCGGTGTGTTTAACTCTCAATCAGGGCTAACCCTAAATCCGGCCCTGTCATTGCTACATCATTTTTTCAGTAACCGTTACATTCCAAAATAAGGCGACCAAATGTCAAAACAAATCTGTATACATCACTTTACTGACGGATTGCACGAAAGCAGAAGTTTTTCTATCAGTTCATTGGTTGGGACTTCCATTGACTAATATGATATAAATTGATTTGAAATCCCTGAAATAATCTACAAACAATTAAAAATATTAGCTGAAAAAAAAACAATTATATTAAGCAATAAAAGCTGGGATTACAATGAAATGAAATAAAAGCAACAATCAAAAAATTGAACTTTCAACACGAGATGAAAATTAAAAATTGAAAGATTCCAAGTCAAGTTATTTCACGACGTTTCGATTGTTAGTATCCACAATCGTCTTCGGGTGATAAATGGACTTATTGTTCCGAAACCTGACTATTTATAGGTCATTCGAGTGCTTTCACCAATCCCCTCTTTCTTCACTCCGCTTCATCGGTTTTAGCAGGAGCTGACCGTTTGGCGGGAGTTGGTCGTATTTCCAAATGTTGCATATCGCTACGCTAGCTTGGCTAAATGCGTTATTGGACAACATATACGCGGCTTCTTTGAATTTTCTCCTAAACCAGTGTTCCTCTTTGTGGCTGATTTCAGCTTGAGCCAACTTGATGTTATGTTGATGAGTCCAAACATGCTCTGCTATTCCGGATTTGCTGGTTTCTTCTCGATGTGTGTGTTTCTTGTGCTCAGCAATGCGAACTTTCAATGGCCTCTTAGTTTCACCGATGTATGATTCTCCGCACTCGTAGGGTATCCGGTAAATGCAATTCTTGGAATCGCAGTCCGCGTTTGGTGGCCTGGTTTTTGTGAGGCTGCTACGGATAGTGTTCCCAGATCTGAAGCAGGTCCTGATGTTATACTTGGACCCAATCCGTCTTATCCTTTCCGATAATCCTCTGATGTAGGGAAGTACAAGTACTGGTTGTGGCGGCTTCTCTTCCTTGTGGAGTTCTTGCTGTCTTGTAGCTAAAGCTTGTTCTACCATCACTTTGGAGTAACCATTCCGTTGAAGGTCTTTTTTGATGATGCCTAGTTCCTTTTCGACATCTTCCTTGGTATTACAGAGCCTGAAAGCACGGTCTACTAGAATCTTGAGGATTCCTCTCTTAGTTGATTGATGGTGGTTGGATTCGTGGTTCAGATACTGTCCCGTGTGAGTGGGTTTTTGGTACACATATGTTTCCCATTTAGCGTCGGTCCACCAATACGTCTAAGAAAGGCAATTCGTTGTGGACTTCCTTCTCCATTGTGAAAGTGATGGAAGGACTTACGTTGTTGATGTGCTTCAGGAAAGTGTCTAGTTCTGCATTCCCATGGTTCCATATAATGAAGGTGTCGTCTACGTATCTCAACCAGACTCGGGGCTTCTTATGGGCTTCTTCAATAGTGTTGTCCAACAACGCATTTAGCTAAGCTAGGGTAGAGATACGTAACATATGGAAACCTCTAATCAAGTGAAAAACGACCAACTCCCGCCAAACGGTCATCTTTCGCTAAAACCAAGGAAGCGGTGAGAGGGAAGAGGGGATAGATGAAAGCACTCGAATGACCTATGAATAGTCAGATCTCGGAGGAATGAGTCCAGTTATCACTCGAAGACGATTGTGGATACTAACAATCGAAACGTCGTGACGCAACTTGGTTTGGAATCTTTTAATTTTTAATTTTCATTTTTTGTTAATAATATTTTTAATTTTATTTTCAGCTTGTATTAATATTTCAATTTTTTTATCTTTTTGGTTGTTGTTTGCTTGTTATTTCTTTGTAATTTCAGTTTTTGTTTAATACAGTTGTTATTTTTTCGGTTAATCTTTTTAATTTTTTAGATTTTTCAGGGATTTCAAATCAGTTTATATTATATTAGACAATGGAAGTTCGAACTGATGAAATACACCACGGAACATTGTCAACCACCTTCAATCAACAAAAAGTGATATCCCTATTATATTCGTGACAGATTAAAAATATGTTGATGACGTTTGCTTAATGATTTTTAAATTCGTGAAATATAACAAGAAAAACAAATGGATACTGAAGCAGAACGTATTCTAGTAAGATTTCAATGTGAGATTTTCACTGAACAGTTTACAAAACAGCAACATCTGTTTCAGTTCACTTACAATATAGGGTAACCTCAATATATTTCTATTCAACTTATTAAACTCTTTCTACTTCCATATTTGACGAATAATGTTTTTAGGAAGTAATACAGAATTCAACGAAAGTCATTTTTTTTTGTGGAGGAAAAAATCAGTTTTTTATCGACCTTTTTTGGGTTATTGTTACCTTCATATTTCAAAACTTCTTTGACATCTGTCGAAGAAGTAAAGAAATAAGCTATCAAAAAAGGAATAACTGCGAATATATTCGAATTTTTTATCCATTTCTGAAGACGGAGACAGATTTTGACCTCCGAAACGTAAAAGATAAGTATTATTTCTTAATATTTTTTTTTGATAGGCAAAATTGTTAAATACGACAAGTAGATGATAAATAGAAGATTTTTCTTTGTGAAAAATACTTTGATTTTTACGCAGTAACTTATCGGGGTAAACTGAAAAGTTTGCTCTTCTACACTTGTATAAAGTTCTCCATTAAAATTTTTATATTTTTCAGATTGTGGAAGGTAACAATTACCCAAAAAAGGTCGATAAAAAAAAGTATTCCTTTCTATCGATATGAAAATTGCGGTGCTGATGAACTCTCTGCATTACGAATGGATTCGTTTTCTTTATTTTTGTTATACCTACTCAACAGTTTGACCGTTACTGACGGCTACATTAGCCTTTCGGTCCTGTAAAAAAGTTACTCATTACCACAATTGCTTGTTGATTCAGTAGCATGTTTCTTACCTAAAATAGTTTTTATCTGCCCGTGTTAATGGAAGCCATTATCGTTATCCACAATATTTGAAAAATACTATCTATTAAATGAAAACAAGAATGTGAGGAAATTTTCAAATGGTATTTTGAATGATTCTAGTGCGATTAATATATATCTGTGTGAGGAATTGTTTTGGAAAGAGCAACAATTTTTATTATTAATAGCCTTACTACACAATAAGTTTCATGAAAAAGTTTTTCGATTTCAGTGGTTTCCTAATGTAAATTGGGCTCAAAAGAAAAAATGTCTACATATAATAAGACCTTGTATGTATGTATATAGTAGGGAGGGTGAGTGTAGACCCACTAGGCCACATGTGACCCATTGTTCATCCTCCCGAGGAGTTGTCCTCCTAGGTCATCGTCCATCCTGTCCTTTTCATGAAGGTGGACAGGTCGCTGTGAGACATCTCCTTTATATCGGCAGGTGTAGGCCAAGACTTGCCGGACACACACTCTCTTGGGCAACCTTGAGGTATCTCACGGCGTCTTCCGCGAAGATTTTGGAAGGTGCAGCGACATTACTATCGTTGCGCGGCTTCTTCCACCTACCTAGGGTTCTCCTAGTGGAGGTGTTCAAATGAGGGCGCTTTCCTGCCGGGGCAGCCGGTTCCTTGTCTTTATTCAAGGCGGATATCTTGGTGCCCGCCGCAGGAAGTGCCCCTGCTGTTGGAGGTGGAGTGGGGGAGGAGGAGGGTGCACTCCTGTCTCTCGCTCTCTTTCTCCTTTTGCCCTCGGCGCCGCAAATGCGCTTACGCCTTAGCCTTTGTACTACATCACGAGGTGATCTGCTATGTCCAGCCTCATTCCGAACGGTAGATTGGGGTGGACATTTCTGTTCATCCCCTGTTACCGCCATATATTGAGGTGAGCACTTCTGTCCAGCCTCGGGATTGGTTTTTGTTGGGTCTGTTCTGTTTGTTTCCACGAGTAGCAGAAAAGAGTTGGTCACCTCTGGCAGAGCCCCGCAGAGGTAGGCTAATTACAATGAGGTTTGGCCAGTTCCTCAAGGGGATCGTTCGTAACGCATATCACCCTGCGGCCATTCAGCTATCGGCACGATTCCTTACACTTTAGCTTGGGTAGGCTGGTCCACGGTGGCATGTTTCGCAAAGGCTTTTGGGGGGTTTAAGTTCCCCTCACCCTATTTATTTCTGCCATTGACCAGGAGTACGGCGACGCCGGACCCGGCCAAAATTCCGGACCCGTAAAAAATTCATATCCTATGTAAATAACTGCCATATATTTCCCATGGTTCCATATAATGAAGGTGTNTAAATAATGGAAATAGAGTTTCGGGAGTCGGGACTTTTTTATCGGAAATTTCCTCCTCTTTCACGAGCTTTTTTCAAAATTGCTTAAATATGAATATTTTTTGAGTTATTAACGAAAAACTAAATACAATTTTTTTTATCTTATTTTGTTAATAACAATTGCAGTTTTTTACCTGCACCAAAATTCTTCAAAAACATTTCTCTAGAGGTCATTCCGAATCGAATGAGCTATCGCTCATATTTTTAGGACCTTCATCTCTATTTTTTCATGTTTTTGAACTTGTTTATTAGACTACATTTTTTTCTGCTCGCAATACAATAATATTTTTTCCATTTGAACACCAGTTATTTCATGTAATATTCTTTTCTATTTCAGTGGTTTCTGAAGGCAAGACGAATTCAACAGGGGAAATCGCATCAAAGAATGGCACCTTGCCTCAGATTTCTGAAAATTCTCCCAATACAGAAGTACCATCAATTTTTCCTTCGAGTGGAATTGGAAATAAACCGACAATATCATTGAATAAAACTGTTGATAAACCAAATCTCTCAGCTATCCGGAGAAATAAATTGAATGAAAAGCCTGTTATACACGACAATACAACAGAGTACATTAAAGTCGACTCGCATGAAACGATTGAAACTAACAGTGAAGTACCCAGTGCAAAAAAACTCAAAAAGCAGATTGATACCGAAATAGAAGATCTGCTTGAAGTTCCCAAGGAAACATATATTTTGGAAGAACCAGAATCACCAAAAGTAAATCACGGACCTGATCAAGATGTGAATCTCTCAGTTCTCCTTATCGATAAATTTTTACTAACAGAAGACTCGTTGCGAAATAACAGCTATCAGAACAAATTAGAAAACGTTGGTATAATACAAGGAAAACTGGCAGCAATTCTAGCGGGAGTTTTTCTTGTGGTATCTATACTCGGTTACATTACCCTTCTGTCCTGGAGGCGATTTTTAGAGTAAGTACGAAATTAGTAGACATAGAAGATTTTTCAGGTCAAGCATTCGTAACACACTCAGCGTTTTATTATCGGTGAGAATTGGTCAAAAATATTGATGAAAGATAGTTTTTGGCCTTATACTTCTCCATCTTGATACAAAAAATGTGTCACTTCTTTGCATGATCTACACATTTTTGTATAGAGTCAATTTTTTGAAACTGATTCCTTCCTTGCTTTCTTTGGAAGATTCCCACATTTTTGTATCAAGATGGAGAAGTGGAAGGCCAGAAACTTTCTTTCTCAGAAATAACCTCATTACAATTTTCGAAAACTGTTAAGTGGATTTTGTTTATTTTCTTTACTAGTGTAACTCGTTTAGAGAAAATATATACAGGGTTCGACAAGTAGAAACGTATGCCAGGTGGTATAAAATGAGACTTAGTATAGCAGAATGATTGAATATATTTGAAAGTGTTGCAGTAGAATTTGTAACTAACGTAATATTTCTTTATACATTTTTGGCCAATAATAATTTCCGCAAATGTTCTGATTGATTTGGCCGTTACTTGATGAAGATCTATGGTAATTTCAAAAACTACGCCCCACTATTTGATATATTTTTCAAATGAAGTTTGTGGGGATCTAACCGTTAGGTGCAGTTTATGAAATTTCCGCAAATTTTGATTACAGTTCTTGAGATAACGATTGCAGCATATTTCCATTGTCTGAGCAAATAGTTGTTGGTTAACAGATGGATCATAAACACCTTCCGGTTCTGGTGCAGATGTTTTCAGTTATAGACCCAGTACAGAAATATCAACCTACCCAGGGTCCTATGCGACTGTATTTCAAACAGAAATCTATGCTGGCCTCTGTGAGCTCACGAAGGATTAACTAACCTAGCTAACATAAGTAAAATGGAATTTATTTAAATTAAATTAGCTAAAGTTCTGTTTCCGCAACCTGCCCCTGGTAGGTGTACCGCATGTACCGCAATTCGGAGTGTCCCTTTTGACTATTCTATGTAGATGTATCCCGAACTCCCCATGACTGGTCAGTTTTAAAGTGGTTGGGATTGCGAGCCAATCCTTCACGTTCGGTATTAACTCTCTTTGGGTATATTTCTTGAGTTCATGTAGGTATTACTCTTTTGGCTTTTCAGACCATGTACGTTTTACGGATGAGGTGAATCAGTGTGTTTGCGCGTTTGCATATGTATATTATATGTTCGGACCAAATTAAGTCGGTATTAATAGTCACTCCCAAGTCTACATGTGAGGACACTGTACGTTACGATTGGCCGCTTATTGTGTACTTATGGAGTGGATTGTTCTTTCCTTGATGAAGTACGACGCATTTTTCGACGTTAAGAGATAGAAGCTAATCCTCGCACCTCTGACTAATCGTGTTGAGGTCTTCTTGAAGGGAATGATGTTCGACTAAGGCATTTCCATACAGTTTAGTATCATCGGCATAAAACGACTTGCTGGACTTTATGTGAAGAGCAAGATCACTTGCATAAACAACGAAGAGGAGCGGGCCAAGAACAGATCCCTGGGAAACTCCACTTGTGACTTGTCTGGGCGAAGAAAAAGAGTGAACCACTTTGACCGTGAAAGTTATATCTGTCATGTCATTTTCAATCTATAGGTTTAGTTGGCTTCGAACCCTGGAACCCTGTCGAAAGCCGTGGTAAAGTCAAGATAAACGATACTTATCGGTATTTTCCTATCATAAGCTGTCGTCCAATCGTTCATGCACTGTAGTCGATTGCTGGTGGTTGATCTACCTTTGACGAAACCATGTTGTTCTGGTGGTATGATTGCGTTTTTTGTTAAAAATTCTGACATATCTTCTACGATGATAGATACAGATAGGTACAGATAAAAGACTAATGGGCCTGTAGTTAATTGGATTGAGTTTATCGCCTTTTTTGAAAATATCGGTGACAGATGCCTTCTTCCAAGCCCGTGAGATGCGAGATTTTGCGAAAGAGACTGACATGATTATTAACAACGGAGAGAGTTAACAACGGAGAGTTGTTGTTTTATTCCCTTATATCTTAATTCTTTTTGAACAATGGTCTAATCGAGCAACTGAGCAATCGAGTTCGAGGATTTTGTGATTCGAACAATTGTTTTTCGATCAATTGATTTCTAGAAATTTACTGCAAAAGGTAAGACCTCGTTAATCCTTAGCTCGCACAAGTTTCGACTTCTGGCGGTTGTCGTTCGTAGGGGTGCGACAGCGGAAAAACAGAAAACAGATTTTTTAAACCTTTATTCATTGAATCCTTTTGCTAACAGTTAACATTGTGTGCTTGGGATATTCATTTGAACTTGAAGATTCAATTGACCTCAATATAACGTTAACTCGAAAGAGAAATTTCCATTCAAATTATGTACAGAGCTAATATCCTTAAAATATCAGACAATGGTCTTAAATGATTTGAAGTAATTGTTAATATGCAACCGTGATATATAAAAAAAGGAGAGGCATTGAAATTCACAGATTAACTTAGTACCTTTATTGTAAACGTCAACATTTGAGTATTGTTTCATTTTACAGTTGCATATATCGTTCTGTTGATAAATACTTTCAAGGAGAATAATGAAACAATTTAGTTTCATTATTCAGTAAAATGGATATAATTATTATACGAAGTGTTCCGTGAATGCATGGCCAAATTGAAAGTTAAATTTTTTTTCGACGAATAAACCATACTTTTTGAGAGGAATTTTCCCAAAAATATTTCATTTGAAAAAATACAGGGTGTGGAAAATGAAATCCGTTTTTTGGACATAATTATATAATTCCAAAATAATGTCTCTATAATTACTTCTCGACAGCATCTAGTCAGGCGAATTTTGACACAGCTCAATATCAACAGTATTTTGCAGACTTTTCAACCTGTTTTGCAAGGAAGGGGTTTTTCCTTCTTGATGAAAGACTGCCCGTGTTCACCCTATTCCCAACTATGAAAGAAAACTATAGTCCAGTCGCTTTGCTTTCAGTGATATCAAAAATGATGGAGAAAGTCTTAAACCACCATATCCTCAAATATTTGGAAGGCTTCGACATCTTGAGCGACCATCAATATGGCTTTCGGAAACAAAGATCTACAGCCGACCTTCTATCGTATGTCAACCATATTTGGAATAACGCAATCGAGAAACATGGAGAATCAAGAGCTGTTGCGCTTGATATTTCTACGGCCTTTGATCGTGTGTGACATGAGGGTATGCTGGCTATAAATCAAATTATCTGAACGAACAATTTGTTCAGGCCAATCTCAACTCCCTACACTGTAGGTAAATGGACTGACACCCATCAGAAAACAACTACTCCCCTAGCTAATACCACGAAGGGCGTTGGATTATATACGACAGGTGTCAGTGCAGGATTCTTCACTGAATTTATTCCTGCATATGCTGTTTGCGATACAACTGCCGCAATATATTATTGGAACACACTTTCAGACCGGTTTCGGGCTATTTGGCCACTCGTCAGTGCAAGGTAGTGCTTATCATCAACATAAAGTCGATGATTTCCGATAATTGAGAATCGAATTCCTTCAGAGTATCATTCCTCAAACTAGGCTGAAGAGGACAACAAACAACAGATTTGTCATCGCCTCATTTGCCTGTGAACGAGGTAACCAACCGTATATCCCAAATTTGACCAATTCCTTTTTTTTAAGTACTTTTGAAGGAATATTCAACGAAAGTCATTTTTTGTGGAGGAAAAAATCAGTTTTTTATCGACCTTTTTTGGGTAATTGTTACCTTCCACAATCTGAAAAATATAAAAATTATAATGGAGTACTTTATACAAGTGTAGAAGGGCAAACTTTTTAATTTACTCCGATAAGTTACTGCGTAAAAATCAAAGTATTTTTCACAAAGAAAAATCTTCTTTGCATGATCTACACATCCATGTATAGAGTTACTTAATTTAGAATTGATTACTTCCTTTCCTTGGAAGATTCCCTCATCCTTGTTTTTTGTATCAAGATGGAGTAGTAGAAAGCCAAAAACTTTCCCAAAAATCAATTCATTGTTTTCGAAGTTTTTACTTTTGCTTTCGCTGACAGTTGCAGCAATTGCCAAATTTTCAATCAAGGCTCATTTTCTCAACTCCACCTTTGTATGATTTCTTGAAATGTTTGGCATTACGAATTGGGACCGATATTATCTGCGAATAGTTCTTGCTCATAAATTAGACAATTTGTGAATTATGCACAGAAAATAACTGTTAATATTTTCATATAATCAGGCATTGAAAACATGAAGTCATTATTTTTTTGCATTGGAAAACAAAGCAAGTGAATTGATCACCTTCTGATAATATTTATTTTAAGGCTAATAATTAGGTAGGTTCGCAATAAATAATGTAATTACAAAATCGTGTATATCATATTATATTTAAATGGAGTTCAATTTAGCTGGCTTTCAATTATAAAAATAATGGAGAACTGTGTAATAATAGGAACAATTGTAAATTCTCCATATTTCATTATTAATGAAATTGGTAGTGAGAAATAACATGAAAATATTTATATTTCCAGGCATCGATATGGAAATAGAGAAATGCTGGTTAATGAGGAGGATTTCTACACAGGAGACTTGGGCCATTTTTCGGTACGTATAAAAGAGTGAATTTATGGTATATTACACAATATCCAAAAGTTATATGCAGAAAGTCGTTATTCCTTGAAATACTGATAGGGATACATTTGCGAAAAAACGTTATGAGTTCATTCTATAAGGCTGCCAGTAGAGTGGATTTGCCGGTTCTGGGCCTCTCCCCACTACTTTCGACTTTGAATGACATCAACGGCCTTGAGCTGTTTCATTAGTCCTTGATTACTTGAAGTTCCACTTTGGCGTTCGATTTTAGACACGATTTATGGTCCTGGGCTTAGGGCTAGTTGCATAGCATGGCCTTCAATTAGTGTATGTGAGTATATAGTTTCAGTTCGAACGTGCTAGTAAGTCAAGTTATTGGTTATTGTTATTGCTCATCGACTACACACTCGGTAAGCGAAAGTCTGCATCGAATCGTTCAGTCTCACAGCAATACTTGGTTCGAGACTTAGCGACGCAAGAACGTACTGCAGATAAAGGCAGTGGTGTTCTCATCACTTTGGTTATGAGGTGTCCGGCGAACTCGATTCGGTGCAGATGCATTTCACACACTCACGATTCGTAGCTCTCACTACGGTCATTCGTGACTTGACACTTAATAAAAGTTAGAAACGGAACCTTTGGCATAAGTGGCATAAGTGGAAATTACACAATAAAGTGTGTTTTTTTTGAAAACGTCAGAATTAATTATTCTAGGTAATAGTTCAATTACTCTCTTTCGGTAAGGTGATGGTCCGTCGATATGTACGCCAGAGGTTATAATTCAATCACCGAAATATATATCTGTGTTTTTCCATAATGCATTTCCGTGTCAACTGTTACATTTCGTTGAATATGTTCCTCAAGGGATTACTTCATTTACTCTGAGAACTTCATTTCAAAAATATTCTGGACTAGAAAACGCATTTTTCATTTTAAGATCGGTCGCAACATGAAACTCAATGTTTAATATTATAATTTCGAAAGAGAGTCTTCGATAAAAAGTACTTCACAATTTTCGACTTAACAAAAATGTAATTCAGTATTTTCTCCAATATTGAATGATTTTGTTTTCAAATAGTAGATAGTATCGGGAAAAGATACATACGTACTGAAAATGAATATTCTGAAATGAACATTTTTAATTATGTATCTCTCCCACCTACTTACTGAATGTTTGCCGGAAAACAAGTGCTTTCACGGCTAATACCACGCAGGATATTGAATTATATCTGACAGACATTTATGCAAGATACCTCACAGAGGTTAGCACATGTTTTTTGTTCATTCAGCAGCAGGATTATGCTGAAATTATTCGAATAATGGATTGAAATATCGAATTCATGATGAGTAGGTACATATTTCTGTAAACTGTGAAAATGAATAACCAATGAATTGGGTATGTAAGACAAATATAGGATGGCTCACACATACAAATCTGTTCTGACAGATAATTGGTCAATAATATGAAAATTATATGTAATACTGTTGTTGATGAATGCATTTATTTATGTAAGAATCACACGTTGAAAGGTAAGGCCTCGTTAGCACAAGTTTCGTCTACTAAGGGTTGTTTTTCGTAGGGGTGCGATGGCTAATTAACGAAAAAATATATTTACATCACCACATTGAAAAAATATGACCCTCAGAAGTCAAAACTTGTGCGGGCTAAGGACTAACAAGGTCTTACCTTTTAACGTGATTCCTAACACGGGTTGTATAGGTAACACTTGAGAGCATCTTGTGTTTCCTAAATGAAATTCAATTATTCTCAACCAGCTAATCTCTAGCTATTCTCTTCAATAAACTGAAACTATCATGTATTGAGGTAGAATGAAATGGAACACCATTTAACAAACATTCATTCATGGTGTCACTACCCTATTCGTGCCAAAACTATTCCTCGTGAATTCAATCAAAAATAACGTTGGAGTCATCAACATATACAGTGTGTCCAAGATAAGGATCCTAAGCATGGCAATCTCAGTACCTGTTGGAGATACAGCTTAGGTAAGATTAGGAAAAAGTTGTGTTCTTTAAAGATTATCTACATGCCGTTTAGAAACTTGAAGAATTTTCATGGCCTGCTGAGATGTTTGGGAAAAACGAGAATTTGACAATATCAATTTTATTTTTTTCTGACTTTATTTGAAAAGATATCAAAAAACGAATAACACTTTTTCATTGGCACTTTCAAGGTACT